TTTTGCAAACTCAGCATGCTCAATAAGTAACTTTGAGTACCTTTAACAAGACAAGACTGATTTTCCTATTCGGAAGATTAATTTCTCATTGCTGTTGTTGTATAAGTACAGGCCTGTTTTCTTTTGTAATAAATAAAGCTGAAGTCAACACATGTAACCACCGGTATAATACGTGCATGTTATGAAACTTGCCCTGACTCAAATCTGTTTAATGGTTTTCCACTGAAAATTCAACATCTGCCAACACCACACAAATCTTGATAACTGATGTCATCATGAACCCATTAAGCCTTGGTTTTTAACATGTTAGGAAAACAAAGGGTTTATGGAAGACTGCTAACAGAGGGCTAAATCCTGGAACCCTTATTCAACAGTAGGAATTGTTCCTTAAGTAAGGTGTGAGTAAGAACATCTTAAGCCTGGCAGAATGTAAGCAAGCTCTTGTTCCACATTAAATTTAATTAACCAAGTCATTCATGAAAATGACACCGTAAGATATGAAACCTGTCACTGCAAACCACCTTTCGTCACTGAGGCTTAGTTGGGAATGCATGTCCTGCCACACCAGCTACTAGCTTTGATGTGTCACAGCTGTGATACTGCAGCAAGGAAAAGCCATTTAAATAGAAAGGGAGCTTTGGAGGAGTTAGACATTTTCCCCTAAGGACCTGAAACTTCTCAGCAAAGGCCATCCAGAGATACACATTGGATAAAGAGGTCTTCATACTAAAATCTTGTAATATGCCTGCAGGATCCCCGTAGCGGGAGCTAAAGGAAAAGCTGTGTAGTGTTGAAACAGTAAGGAGCATCCATCCAGATTAAGAAGGAATCCCATGTTATCTCTAACATCCATACACCTGCAAAACTGATAATGTCTATCCTGCAGTTTGTATCCTGGGCACAGAGGTGGTTAATCAAAGTTACAGCATAAGACCTGTGGGGGTGGGAAAGTAATTTAATTAATGTGCCAGATATCCTCGCCAAAGCTTTTGCCAAGATTAGGTTCAGATTGCAAAGAAATCTCCAAGAGAAGGATAATTCTCAACACCTGCGGGCACTTTTATTAGCTGCTTGCACAGAATAGAAAACCTTATGTTAAAGTATTTGTCTCTGCTCTACCAAACTGACCTCACGTGCTTTTATCTGGCCATAACCATAAGCAGATTTTAAAGCAGGCTGCAGTAGAGATTGCTAATGGGCAAGTGCTCTGTGGCAAATCCACTTGAATAAAGTAACCTGTGGATGGAAGCAATCATATAAAGCTGTTCGAAAGGGGACACTGTCAAAACAAGTATAGATTTGGGTACACAGTGGAGGAAGAAAGTGAGAGAAATCACTAGGATCTTTAACACATCCAGAAGAGGCATTCACCTAATGCAGCATTATGCTAGATTAATCCAGGTTCAGGTCACCAGGGCAGAACCTTGGCTTTGTAAAGGGGAGTAGAAAAAGTCCCTAAAAACTTTTAAATCTTTTTCTTTTGAAAAAACTTTGTCGGTGGTTTTTTTATTTGTTTGTTTGTTTTGGAGTTTCTAGTTGTGTTTGTTTGTCTTTTGTTGCTTGGGGGAGATTTGGTTGTTTCTTTCTTTATTTTTTTTTTCCCAAGAGGCAGTTGATTCTACAGCATTGCAAACAAGGTTGAAAATTTGAATGCATAGCCACAATGCTTTTAAGGAAAATAAACCTTAGTAAACACCTTATGTGTTTAGAAACATATTACAATAAATCTAGGAAATTATTATGTTTTGGTACTACATAATATGACTTCTCACTAAAAGAAATTCAAGTGAATTGAAAGGGTTTTTTATCTGTATTTTGTTGTGAAATAAATTGTTTCTATCTGAATGAACAGTTACAACTCTCCGGTGGAGGCTTGTCGAATTGTTATTCACTCTTGATCCAGTGATATGTATTTTATGCACATGTAAACAGACAGACCCATGCATATACATGTGCAACACAATTTCTGCAATGATTTCTGGTAGTGAAACATGAATTCTCAAATGTTTGTCATTCCACACACTTTAAACAGTCTCTCTTTAATCTGTTTTATCCATTTAAGTTGGTTGATTTTTTTTTTTTTGGGGGGGAGGGGGCCTCAAAATACTCCTACCTTTATTTCTAGATAGAAAAACAGCAAAAGAGCTCTGATTTCCATTCTTTTAGTGCTAATGAAATAGAAACATTAGCAATTATAAAAAACATCTGTGACTTTGGAAAATATAGTAAAACTCTTTAGATTTTTCAAGAAGTGGCCTTGAAACATTGCCCTGAGCTTTGGTGGTATTACTGCTCTGGTTGCATTTTCTTGTTCCTGTCTCAGCTACATCAGAATCCTTTTAAATAAAACGTTAATGACAACTCACAACTCAGTAATTTCAGGTCAGATTCTCCCCTATTCACTCACGCTGACTGGTACCTTATTCTGCAAGAGTCTAAGTCACCCAAATGAGTGACGACGATAATGAATAAATGACCAGGAAACATCTGGAAGACTGCAATGAGTCTAAACTTAAACTCATGTCTCCTTACATTTTCACCTAGCAAAAACAGTGTATCACTCTAAGCAGTGATTGCCCTTTACATGAAGTGGGGTAATTTATGACACCACTTACTGTGCAGGCAGTGTTGCATGCTATAAAGTGCTGCATGAGGTAAGAAGAGCAGGGCTGTGACAGAGCCCTGCCACTTGCAGGCATTTGCAGAGGAATTGCAGAATCAGATGTTGATGTCATGACCCTAAAATTTAGGAGGCATAGCCCTCCCACAGCCTCTGACAGTATTAGCAAATGATCTAACAGCTCACGTGCAGCTCCTGGGCAGATATATCAGTTCAGAGCTGATGCCACTTTTAACTTTCAGAAAGATGAATATAGTCTTAATTACAACTAACTTTTCCCACTTTATACACTATAAATCTATAACTATGATTAGCTTTTACAAAGCAGATAATGAAAAAAATTCAAATTCAGTGGGGTATTCCTAAAGGTATTCATGCTCGTCCAAGAAGATAAAATTGCTGCTAGGGTTTTTTACACTCTACTTCTGAATTTTCTGAGTCTCAAGGAAAAGAGAATTCCAGCACTCTCCACACTTCAAATTCAGGGTGATGGCCTTCTCCCATTATGCTACAACTTACAATCTTTTTAAACCTGTCCCTAGGATTTTACTTTGAAAACAATTCTGTATATATATACTGAGGAGTATATATATTTATCATCTTTTAAAAGACTTAACTTAGTACTTAGTGCACCATTTCAGGACAATAAATATCAAAGACAGCTGTGCAGATATCTTTGTTAGCATTGCTGGTACAGGTCTCTCTAGACAAGACCTAACTCTTCATCTTGCTACAAACAATGGAATATGAAATGATGGAGTTCTGTAAAATGTAACACACTTTCGTGTTGTGTGGAATTTGCTTGGGTCCCAGCCCTGCAGAGTACACACATCAGAGTTTTACACCTGACTAGTTCTACCAGTTGAGAGAGGCTTACTCATGCGTATCATGTTAAATGTGAAAATAAGTACCTGCAGGATCTTAAGGAGCAACACAGGCACTGAAAAGACAGCATAATCTTGATGGGCAAATAATAAACATGTTCCTCCATGTGGCAAAAAAAAAAAAAAAAAGAAAAAGTGAGCCTACCATAATAACTTCATCAGTGCAAATTAGACAAATATAGAACCACAGAGGCTGACTGCAATTTTTCCACTGTAAGCCTGACCTGTAACTTGTTAACCTACTGCTTAAAGAGTATTCACCTCATGTTCAGTTATCCAAAGAACTCAAAGGAAAAAGAAACTGGAATAAATTTTTATTCCCCTGTCCTGGAAAAAGGGCAAGGTATGCCATAATTGTAGAACTTTATAAACACTAGAGAAAGACTTAAAAAGGATCTATGACCAACTTATTGAATGTATTCATACGGCACTCAGAATGGCTTTCAAGCTTTTTTTTTGTCCACATTAGTGCCATTGGACTGTAACTCTTCTTTGATATTACATTGTTCTCACATAAAAATAAACCAATCCTCCTGAACACCAAAATTGTAAAGGTTCAAGACCAATGATAAAAGCGCTTCTTCTTTATTTCCCTGGGTACTCGCCACCTGCCCCATTGCTAACACTGCTCTTCCTAGCACTTCAGGGTATTTCTGCAAACCCCACACTTACACCAAAATGACTTTTAAATCTTTTCCTAGAACCTGAGTTCATGAACAGCTGTTAGTTTGGGAAGTATTAATGGGAGCCATTTCACCAAATACTACGTTATTTTCTATTTCATGGGATTGTGCAGAATTTAAGATGACCTAAAGCTTAACCATGGTGGTTGTTTTTGCATGGGTTTATCAGAGTCTGTCTGATTGAAGACAGGTTCGTAAATAAAACATCTGGCCTTTTTTTTCCCCTGTTATTACCCTCCTTGTGACAGGATTAGATCACACAAATGTCATAATATCTGAAAAACTGTGAAGCATGAGAATGGACCCCTTTAATGGGAGTAAAACCAGTACTTACCAAATTCCTTCAGGAACTCAGATTAGTGGCTCACTGGGAAATTTCCAAGCAACTGGATGAAGAACTTCACTCCAGCTTCCCTGAACAATTATAAGCTGTCATTTTTTGAAGAATTTTAGGATGATTTCTTTTCTTTAGTTTTTGTATAAACCTTCTAACAAAAACACTCCAACTTCTAGATAAGAGACCACAAGTCCTTGTAACCTTGGAAACATAAGATTACTTTTACTTTCTTTGATAAAATGTAGTTTTTTTCTATTTCAAATCTCCCCATCTTATTATTTACTTTTATTTTAAGGTCACTGAGTTTTCAGAGTGCCCTTTGACAGTAGCAAAAGGCACCTGTAAGTTACCGACACACACAGACTAACCAACCTATTACCTTTCCCCCACTCTGAAAATTGTCTAGGTAATAAATATATCACCACTAAACTCAGAGATTCCTAACCTCTACTTTGGTGTTTTCTGTTTGATTTCAGACAGAGAAGACTTGTCTTGAAGCCTGACTGGATTCTTCCAGCCTCTTTAGCTGATGTAAAGAAAGAAAATGCTTCTTCTTACAGTCCTGGGCAGTACTCTGCAAGTTATCTTGGAGATCACAAAGACTATGGAGTTTTCTGGGAAGAATCTTTCATTTTTGTTTCTGCACTCCAAGAAGATGTAATAAATGCTGCACAAGTACACATATGCATAACTCTTAACAGTTACTGTTATGCAGCTTAAAAACACAAATCACAATAGGCTGCGTTTTTGGCACCACTTCTGAAAAACAGAGGCCGATCAGCTCTGCATTTGCAGTCTAGAAGCAAACTCCTGCACTTACACAGACAAATTCCAGGACTGAATGAACAGCGAGAGTAACCTCTCCATTTCTGTGGGATTTTCTCTACTACCAGGTCCAGTTCTATAAAATATGACCTTCAAATGGAGGGGAAGCCTAATCCTATTCAAAGTTACACGTGCATAATTTCAAAGCTTTATGCCCGAGGGCTATCCACACTGAGAGAGATACTGCATGTTGCTCACTCTTCTTCCTATTCACACACTTCTACTGATGTGATTCAGTTGTAGAAAATAGCTTATAAAAAAAGACAGTTTGAGATGCTGTATTCCTGTTTCCACCTGTAAAGCATAGCCAAACGGACACTACAAAGAGTGTAGTTTCTTTCTGTCTTTCCTCCTCTTAGAAATGCTGGTTTACAATGGGTTAAAAATCTGCTGCTAAGCACTGGCCATTTTAAGGTGTATTCTTCTCCCCTGCTGATTTGCCCTCTGACCTTCTGGGGGCCAGGGTGGCTGCAGACTTCATTTTTACTCTATTTCCTGGTCTCTCTCCTGCCTGTGCACTCAATGTTTCCACAGCAGATTAATGACAGCTAATAATATCTGATATATCTGGACATTGCCACATAATGAGTTGCAGTCCCACTGGGTGCCCAAAGTGTCACTACTAACAAATTCACCAGAGCTGCACATAATTAGCATGTAAAGGGAGTGATCATGCAGTAAATCTGGAGGGGAAGATGGATAGGCCATGAGGAAAAAATATAAGGAAAAACTACTGTTCTTAACACTCATTGGTATATGTATGTTTCTTGCCATGAATATTTCCTTGATAACAAACTGTGGACAGGTTACCTTTACAGTAACATTATTCCTTCCACGGCTGATAGGCAGAATTTCATTATGCCACTGCTAATGTTACAATATTTCTGCAAAATGTCACCATATGTAAATTAGAAGAGGTTAGGGTTTCAGTCTTAGTTTTCTTTCAAGATGCACTGTCCCTTTCTGCTATGGCCTAATTCTCCTTTCTACTAGTTTACAGACATGCTAACATTGGTCCAACCTTGCAAAATAAAATTGGCATTGGAGGACCTTCCTTCTCCAATAACTAAGTAAGAATGAAGAAACTCAACTCAGGATGGAGAAAAGATATGGGAGTGAAAATGAGCTTACTTTGTAAGGTTCTACCGAAAGCACAATCTTTCCTGACACGTCAGAATATACCCAGTAAAATAAAACAGGATGCATGGACAATATGAGTTGCCTGACCTGATTTGAACACAGGTCTTTAACTTGTGACCATCTGGCTGCCCATCACACCCCAAGTGCAGCCTGCAGTCTGGGTATGGGCAAAGAGGCTTTCCCAGGAGGACAAGGAGGTCGACAAGGAGCAGATGAATCCTCCTGATGGGCTGCCTTCAGCCTGAAGAGCCCTAAATAGGACAGCTTTGCTCTCGTTTAAATCAGTCATTTGTCCTCATTAGAAACCATTTCTCAGCAGTGTTAAAGACTTCATTTTGGTTTGAAGTTGTGACATTCACAGGCCTTTTGCTTCTTTGACATCTGTGTGGGAAAACTTGCATTTAGGTGACTCCAGCTCAGGAGGGTTATTTGAGAAATTGCCCAAAGTGTGGCTAATTCCAAGTGCAAGGTTTGGGGTTTGTTTTAATTATTGTTTTGCTTAACAGAGAGGCCCTTGGCCCTGAAGGCTTCAGACTTCAAATTGCTCTTGTTCTGAAGGCACTTCTGTCATTTAGGGGGAAAAAAAAAGAGTTAACAATGAAGCCTCACTTAAAAAAAAACAAATCCAAACCCCAATAAGCAAACAAAAGATACTGCCTATAACACAAATGTTTTCCCATGATAAATAACTATTCAAAGATGCAAAACACACATATTATTTTATTTATATATATTAGTATAAATTTATATATCTATATAAATTGATCAAAATAATACCAATAAACAACTTATAAATTATAATATATATTAATGTTCTAGTTATATAAATTTATGTAAGTGTATAAAATCAACTAAGTTTAGCTTAGTTGAGTCTCTGTAGCCACCTTTTGCAGAGAGAGTGCTTGGCCAGGAGAGCCTTGTGATCCTTAGGCTGATCAAGCACAAGCTGGCAGAAACAATTTTATATTAAAGTCAGAAGTTTCACAGAGCTCAGATAACAGCCCTTGTTTGGGATAATGGTGAGCACTGTCAATAAACCTTGACACTTTTAACAGCGTGAACTGCTATTCAGCAATGCAGGGATGCACTCTGGAAATAATAGTAGCTGCTCCCGCCCACTACTTCTTTCCTGTTTTGGTCATTATCTAAGTGCTTATGAACTGAGCCCAACAGATCAACACATAAGCTCCAAAAATTTCTGTATTCTCAACTCATAGTGAGTTTCATGCCGGCTTGTGTTCTGTCAGAGAATCACCTTTTGGAGTCGTGTGACTTTAGATTTTAGACACTTTTTTTGAAAAAGAAGATTTTCAAACTACATGTATAAACCCTGGTGATGTAAAAACAGCATAGCTAATTAAAAAGCAAGCATTTCTTTTAAAAATCCTACAAGTTTTGCATGCTAGCAAGGGAAATTCTGTTGGATTTTGGAAGGAAAATAAAAAGAAAAAAAGAAAGAAATTTAAAATCTTTAAAATTTTCCTGACAAGAACCAACTTTATATTGAATCCCTTGTTTTATTACCTTGTCTCTGCAATCCATATGGTAACTTTCAGCACAATTATTCGCGATTCACCTTTTCACATAATTTCTTTGAATAAAAAAAAAAAAATGAAAAAAACCCTCCAAACAAACAAAACAAAAACTTAAAACAAGGCTTATATTGTTTATCTTGTTTTTAATGAAAGAATGAAGCTCACAGCCTATCCAACTCTCACAGGGGCCTTTTTTTATGCAATCTTAATGATAATTAACTGACAGTGATTGATGGGGCTGAGGTAAGAGTAGACGCAACTGCACCATCCTATCCAATTCATTTTTCTATTTTTTACGAGTCTTTTTTATTTCTAAATAGTACCAAATGTATTATTTGTCCAAATTCAATTTCACGTTTAAAGTTAAACAGAAATGCGTTTGCCCAGTTGTTTTGTCATCTTGCTGACTGGGATTTCATATAGTCAGATTTCATTCTGTGTCAAGTTTAAGGAAGGCAACTACTTCTGTGTTGGAAATAAATGAAAACATTCACATACATTTCCATGTGTTTTGTAGGTAAAAGTATTTCTACTGGAAAATGGGCCCCAGCACACTGAGGTTGTACAGAATTTTTGAATATGTCCACATGGAATTACATTGAAGGGAATATGAGTCTTTTTTAGCTTTGTTTCAAAATATTGTTGTTAGCATTGCAGTCATCTCTAGGGTATTTTTTATATGCACTGAACTGTATTTCCACAAAATCACCTTTGCTGAAAAACTCCCAGAGTCTCACATCCAACTTTGGTCTTGTTGAATATCACAGCCTCTCATACATTGTCTAGAATGACTACACGAAATTACATTTTTTTCCTTTAATCTTCAAGTCTGTTCTAAATAATTGTTGCCATTGTGCTGGTTGTGTCAGTCTTAAAATTTTGTATATATATCAACTATTTTAAAAGCTTTTGGCAGAGTTCTATTGCCTTATCAGGAAAATGGTCCAATTTGAAATGTGTATGTTACACAGAAGACTTCATATTTTGAATTTCTTCATCTGACAAGTGAATTCTCTCTGGTATTTTATCACCTCTTACATTTAAATGATATTATTTTAACTGCTTTTCTGAAAGAGTCTTTCCCTCTTTTATTGGTTGAAAGAAAAATAAGTTCTTTTTAGACATGCAGTGTTCCCTTAACAGCTTCACTGCCCTTTCTGTGTGTCATTACATATAACAAAATGTACACACAATGCATCCCTTGGGAGTTAAAGCCTATCGCGGTGCAGTACTTTCAAAGTGAGTGTTTTATACCATTTGGCACCCTGAGGACATGTGAGGTGACACCACTGATCTCTCAGGAGAGACCTTACTGATTTCTTGCAGCTCTTGCTGATGAAGAAATTAGTCAATAACTATATTTTGTAAATTCTAGCAGCCTTGTCTTTCTTTTCCTCCCATAAGACAGAGGCTGCGGAAAAACTGCATCTGCCTGGGCCTGAAGGCATGTTCAGTTTTTGCCTACCTTTATACCCTCTTGATGAGAGTAACAAATCAAGTTCAAGCATCCTGTACTGAGAGATCCTTCACTAAGCCAGACACTGCTAAGCTCTTACTACTAGGTAAGACTTCCATGGAGGTCTATCAACAAGTCTCAATCATCCATACAGGTTATTGCTCAGGGACAAGGGACACCTCTTCCTGCCCAGGGGCTGCCTGCTGTCACTGAAGCATCCTTTTCCAATACAATCAGTGATCATTTGACACACAGGGGACTGCCAGACTTCCAGGATTATGGCCAATAAACCTTCCCCAGAATGAGAAGAACCACTAGTGGCCATGAACCATGCATTTTTCAAGCACTAGAGAAGATGGCCAATACATAAATACCTCCTTACTTAAATTATTTTTGAAGAACGCTTTCCTTAAGAATAAGCTGGGAAGTGTTGGTCTGTGCACAGGAGAACGTACCCCCTGCCTCATGCAGAAATTACGTGGTCCCACTACTTTGCCTACACCTACAAATGGAAAAAAGCAATTGCAAGAAAACTGAAGGTGGGGGGTTTTCTCCCCTTCAGCTGAGGAACAAAACAGCAACAACAAATTATTTTGTGTCAAAAGAAGCCTTCTTTCCAAGTGACTTGAAATTAAACATATCCTTGTCACATATTGTGAGTAAAGCAAAAGACATGGAATCATAGAACAGTTTGGGTTGGAAGGGACCTTACTGATCATTGAGGTTTTTTACATAATGAGAAGAGCA